TACTACACTACAAAAACTACATTTTGTAGTTTTTAAAGTTTTAAGCTTATAAGAGTATATAAGGACCCACTTTTTTATTATTAGCTTATAATTTTAGATTTATATTACTTATTCGTAAAACTTATAATTCTATTAGTATTTTATTAGATTTAATATAATTTTTTATATTTAAAACTATAAAAACTATAAAACTATAAAACTACACTACAGTTAATACTCTAATTATTATACGTTTATAGGTATTTATAAGATACTTATCTTTATATTAGGTTACCTATAGTATACCTAAACCACCTATATAATAAAACGGGTAGCCCACGAATAACCCAAGAAAAACTTGGATACCTACGGGTGCCCACGGGTACCCGTTTTTACACTCTAGTTTATTGATTCTTGACCTTGACCCATAAAGTTGGATGCCGATCAAGTACTCCGTAGAATCGTCTCAGTCAGCCCAACGCCATTGGTAAATGGAATAACAAATGACTAAATACACAATGCGCCACAGGTCGGCTTCTCTTCTCACCCAGTTAATTGCCGTGTTAAAGTCGGGGCCGCACTCGAATCAGGAAATAGGGTGCGATCCGACCCTGCTGCCTGATGTCGATGTTGACCCAAGCCACGAATTCAGCAGAACATAAGCACTAGTCAATCCCAAAGAAGTATCGGGAACATTCGAGACGTATCCATGAATTTAATCGCAGTGATACACAGGCAGTAATGGGGAGATTCAAAAAAAGATAAGAAGGTCCGGGAGTTGTCCATAATCTGAACTAACACAAAAGCCCATTCAAATCCCCGTCACAAAGAAGACGGCTTTCCGCCATGACCGAGTACGCAAGACTTCCCCGCGGCGCGACTCTCGCCATCACGCCCTTCAAGGCGCACGTCGAGGAGGAAAAGCTGCAGCACTTCAAAGAACTGCTGCGCCTCTCGCCCATCGGTCCCGCCGTCTTCGAAAACACCAGTGCCGGGGACAAATACGGCGTCCAGAGGGAGTGGCTTCAGAATGCCAAGAATACCTGGCTAAACGACTTTGACTGGCGCAAGCACGAAGACCGCATCAATTCCTATCCCAACTTCAAGACGTCGGTCAAGGACACGGCGGGCAACACCGTTGACGTCCACTTTCTGGCTCTCTTCTCCGAGAATGCAAACGCCGTCCCCATTGCCTTCTTCCACGGATGGCCGGGGTCCGTGTGCGGCTTTTTCGACATGCTGGACCTCTTGCGGCAGAAATTCTCGCCGGGGGACTTGCCGTACCACGTTGTTGTGCCCTCGCTGCCGGGATATGCCTACTCTTCCAGTCTGCCCCTGGATGTGGATTACGGAATCGACATGGCGGCCGGGGCGATGCACAGTCTCATGATGGGCTTGGGCTTTGGCTCCGGATACCTGGTCCATGGCGGTGACCTGGGCAGTTTTGTCAGTAGGATCATGGCGTTGCAGTACGACGAGTGTAAAGGGATGCACGTCAACATGATGGGTGCGCCGCCGCTGGACGAGAACCCGCCGCGCAGCGACGAGGAGGAGAAGGCGCTGCAGAAGGCGCTTGAGTATATTGATACCGCGAGCGGATTTGCGTTGGAGCAGGGGCAGCGCCCGGCGACTGTTGGACTTGCACTGAGTGCTAGTCCTTTGGCATTGCTTAGCTGGTAAGTGCTTTTTTTTTCCCTTTTCACAATTTCGGGGATCCGAAACAGTTGCTAATGGTGAGGACAGGATTGGTGAGAAATTCCTGGCGTGGACAGATGGCGATTTCCCGCTCGAGAAGATCTTGGAAAGTGTGACGCTGTACTGGATGACGGATACATTTCCTCGAACCATGTATCATAATCGCGGGGTATGTGCTCTTGCTCTGGTATTCGAGTGCAAGCTGACTGTGTCTTTCTTGTAGTTGGCAAACGCACACGACAAGCCAAAGATTGCAAGAACCAGCGTGGTATGTACCAGCTCGTCGGAATGCAGATGGGTACTGACGAGTCATACAATGGCCAGGTCTCCAAGATGACGGCGCTGCAGCTCCCGTACGTCGAAAAGCCGTGCGGCTATTCTCTGTTCGCCGGGGACCTTTTCCCGGTTCCCAAAACCTGGGCGGATCTGAGCTGCAATCTGGTGTCGTTCAACCAACACGCGCGGGGTGGTCACTTTGCAGTGAGTACACGCTTGACGGCGATGGCTTCGTGTGTGAGTATATACTAACGATATTCAGGCCATGGAGAATCCACGCGCGCTGCTCGCTGATGTGGAAGAGTACGTCAAGAAGGCTTGGAGCGCGGACGACTCTGCAAAGTGAGGATGACCAAACTATATCACGGGATGCTGAGGTGGACGAGTTGGTCAGGAATAGAGTACTTTGAAGTCAAAGGTCTACAGTCTGCATGTCACAGTAATGATAATGGCTTCGCTTTGCTACAGCTTGAACTGTGTGCGCGGTCATGTATTCTGATGCAAACCTCGCGCATCGAATCCCACCACCGTCCCAGCATATATCGCACCGAGGCTGAATAAAGAACTACCAGGCGTCAGTGTGCCGTGCAGCCTCCGTCGGCCAAGAGCGTAGTGCCGGTAATAAACGAACTTCTCCCACCGGCAAGGAACAAGACGCCATCGGCAATCTCCTTTGGCTGTCCCAAGCGACTCATTGGCACCAGAGTGCGGACAGTGTCCTCGACGGCCTTCTGAACATCTGGTGAGGTCGTCATGGGCGTGTCCGTGTACCCCGGGCACATGGCATTGATGCGCAGCCCATCCTTGGCGTAGTCCAGGGAAGCCGACTGGGTGAGGCCGACGATGGCATGCTTGGACGCCGTGTACGCCGTGTACCGCGGGATGGCGACCAGGCCCAGCATCGACGCGAGATTGACAATGGAGCCTCGCTGCAGCGGCCGGCCGTCGACGGAGGACAGTATAGGCTCCTGCTTCAGCATGGTCTGCGCGGCGGCCCTCAGGACGAAGAAGCTGCCGTCGACGTTGACGCTCATGACGCGATTCCAGTCGTTGGTGTCGGCAAAGGCGGCGCCGTTGTCGTGCCTGAAGGTCACGCCGGCTGCGTTGACAACGTAGTCCAGCCTGCCAAACGTCCTGGCCACCTCCTGGACGACCCTGTTGACTTGCTCTTCATCGGTGACGTCGACGGTACATGTCAAGAGGGGACATTGTCCCTCCGCCCGTCGTGCCGCCATGTCGGCCGAAATCTCCGTCTTGGCCGCGAGGAGCGCCTCTTCGGATATGTCGAGGAGGGCAACCCCGGCTGCGCCCTCCATGGCAAAGGCCTTGGCGCATGCTTTGCCGATACCAGACGCTGCTCCGGTGATGAGTGCGAATCCGGGGACGTCCATTTTGGCGATGGAGGAAGGAAGTGTGCGTGATGGCATACAAGGTACGAGGTTCCGGGGCCCTCCGTGACGAAGGTGCTGTTTGTGTTTGGGGGTTTTTGGCTCGAGTATCTGGTGACTGTTCAACTGGGGTCTGGTTCAGTTTTATCAGTTGATGTTTCCACTAGTTTGCCAATACTTGGTTAGTCTCGCAGTTGCGTCCCCTGGTCATTCAATGCGCACCTTGCCCCATATATGCAGGTCATGATGTATGCGGAACATGCATGGTATTAATGTGTTGTTGGGGCTATGCCGGCCGAACGTCTGCAAACTGCAATATCCCTGCTCCAACTTGCCGTGACTGCAATAAAGGCAACTTTGTCACAACTCGTTCGAGCATCGACGTACACCATGTAGCCGAGGAGCCCGCACGGGCATGCTTGAAGGCCCTTTGCTTCCTTTCCCCTCTTCCTGTTCTGACATGACCTTGACAATGGCCTTCCGTCTAACGTCACACAAGCTTCCCCGACCATTGACGGAATGACACAAGAGCGTTGCCGTCGGGCCCAATCCGCATCCGGGCAGCGAGAGTTGGTGATGCAGTCGTCCAGTCAAAGCCCTTGGTGAGCAAGTAATTGGCACAATCTGGCGGAAGGTGGATTAGGTGTCGCGAGCTTAGTTAAATGAGGTTGAATGATTATCAGCTTTAACGGCTAGCAATAATCAAGCGGAAAGAGTCGAGTCCAAATTGTCCAACAATGCATCCATATTGCGCTTTCAAGAATGGCCTCCAACCTCGCCCTTTGCCTGGTTCCAGTACAACACCTATTGTTCAATCTACACATGTAGCGTTACCGTAGTAAAGTCCACCAACAGGCGGCTATTGAAACCAGTCAAGGCTTCTGGTAGCACAGGATATTCATCTCATAGCGATCTGGCACACATTGAAGTGCTGAGGAGTTGTTGGATGAGGACCAACACCATTTGGAGTACCGAGGTGAGGCTCCAGCGCGTTCATTGTCGGTCCTCCGCCTTTGGCACAATGACACATGTTCACGCAATGATGGCGAACCGAAGAAGAAAAAGACCCATTACTCGAGACTGAAGTGATCTTGACATGCCTATGAACTCAGCCCCGAACAATCACTCTAGACAGGGGCAGGTAAGAGTGCGCATTCCATGCATGCAGTCTGACGTATACTGTCGCGTTGCGAATATAACAATTACACATACATGAAATCACGAGATCGGGTAGCAAGTGGAGGGACTAAACAAACCAACTCGGGCAGCAAAGTCATCAACTATGTATATGACAGCGACATATGTGCGTATAGCTTCAAATACAAATGCTACAAATGTCAAATTCAATGGATTGAAAAGTGCTGGTGCATGCTCTAGTAGTGGCGTAGTGTTTCGGATAACAATAAAAATGCATTGTCGTGAAGTATGTGAGCTTAGCATTGCGACGGTCCCGGCTCGCCCGGGGACAAATACAACGCTTGAATTATATGCGCTGTTTCTGGAATAGCATGGTAGTCAAGCAGAGGATTAGAATGAAGAGTGTAGTCTGTTTAGAAGAGGCATATATGCTCGGGACGCTATACACGAGAGACATCATATGCGAGGATGTGCATCTTACTGGAGAGCACCACCATTCAAAGCTTGGAACTGCAAATGAACGTTGAAGTGTATAGTAGATTGTGATGAACATCAAACATGTTGGTTCTATCTTGCGTCATAAAATTGTAATTTTGCTCTCTCTTTGTAGTGCATCCTGCTTCCACAACAGCGGTCGACATTCCACCATCATCGCTTCATCCCGGTAGAGTAGTAAGCTCTCGGCAGGAGAAATTACTAACCCCGACTCTCCGTAGGCATATTTTCCGGTAGTTTCGTATACGAAAATTGAACGCCCGCCAGGCATTTGACAACCCTGAGTCTCGCGCGGTGGCTTTGGGCGAGACCCAGTATGGTCTTATTCGGAGGCGCAGCCGCAACCCGTATTTCGCTACATCTAACTGGTGTTGCGAGAAGCCACCTCAGCCATTCTCATGATACAATCGTCACCAAGGCTAAACTACTTGCGGGGAGCAGGAGAGCCCATTATGTTTGATAACGTTCGGAGGTCATTAACGCGCTGACCACAACAACGTTGATCAGCTTCGGCACTATTCAAGTCATGCTGGACCAGGCGCCTCCATCAATTTTAACAAACCAAAATTAGGCATGATCATTCTGAACTGGCCCTCCGTCTACGTGGTGGCTTGGTAAGATTAAAGTTCAGTCCAGCTTGGCGTGGCGTAAGCCGTCAGTTCCGCGCAAGCCTTCAACTGGCATCATTTCTTCGCTGTCCCAGTTCAACGATAGCAAGTTATAAGTAGAGCGACGCCAGTCTCATTGGCTATGCTTACCTAGGTACTTAAACAAAAATACATCACTGGAAAGTCGTCAGAACTGCGCGTAGCAAAGCATTTGGACCTACAGCAAAGTTATCCAGCAGATCCAGTCCAGCGCGTCAAAACCCCAAGAAAGCGCCCTAGTCAAGCACAAGGCTATTGTCAGGCAATTAATTACCGTCAAAAGGCGCACATATTGCGACTTGCATCATTGCGCAATGTTCGGAAGAAGAAGACGCAGTCCGCTCCTTGCTGCGGCTGGTGGGGGAGGGG